GTGCTGGTGACGGCAGCGCTGGATGGAGACGTCAAGATCTGGGAGCGCGCCACGAGGAGACTGGTGGGTGGCGTGAAACGATGCTCCTCACTCCAACCCGTAGCCCCCTGCTCGCCCAGCCCTGGGCTCCCCCCTGAGCTCTGCTAGTGCCCCTCACTCCAACCCACAGCCCCCTGCCAGCCCAGCCCTGGGCTCCTCCCCACCCGCAGCCCCAGGCTCTCTGATCCCTGGTTCTCTCTCTGCAGCTGGGGCAGTTCCGTTGCGCTGCCCCTGTCTCCTGCCTGCAAGCCCGGCCTGGTCCGGCCTCCCAGCTGCTCTTGGCCGTGGGCGACATCCTGGGCAACGTCTATTTCCTGGAGTGGGCCTGTCTGCAGGGGGACGAGGCTGAACCCTGACCCATGTGAGCGGAGATGACACAATAAAGCTGCCCGCTGAGCTGCAAAGAACAGGGCCTTTGTTCAACTGTCCCGGCCCGGCCCCTCCCCCAGAGCGAGGGGGGGCTAAGAGGCCAGAGACACGTCCCCCCTGCCCAGTCCCTTGGGAAACTTGGGATCTATCAGGCCCCCACGCTTGTGTTACTGCTTCTGGCCTATCCATGGGGCTGGATGAGGGCGAGAGGGTCGCGACATTGTATCTCAAGCCCCCATGCCCTAGGCAGAGCCTAATTGGGGGAAAACACCCCCCTGCGGGGGGCAGCCAGGCTCCTGACTCAGCAGCCCTGCCCCCCATTTCCAGCACGCTGCAGCCAGAAATGCAGCAGGGCGCAATCAGGGCTGGTACCAAATTTATTGCTGTAGAAAGCAGCCAGAGGGACATTTCCCCAGGAATCCCAGGGGGGGGGGAAGGGGGTGTCTCCCGACCGGGCGGCCTGTCACCACAGCGGGGCGAAGCTGAAGCGCACTTGGAGCAGGTAGCGCATCCGCACCTGGCCCGGGTCGTAGACGACGAACTCGTTGTAGTTGAGGGTGTAGCCGTGGGGGTTCGTCACGTCCGTCTCCATGGGTGGGCCCAGCGGCACTGCAGCCCCATCCCTGGGGGGAGACGAGGCGGAGGTCAGGGCGAGGGTAGCTCAACCCCCCAGATGCCTGGTTCTCTCCCATTCTGGGGGGCAGCGCCAGGCACGCATGGCTCCTGGGCTGCACAGGTTTGCTGCTCTTTCCCCGGAGGCACCCCCCCCAGCCGGCTGGCACCGAGCAGCAGCCGCGACGGGCTGGGGAGGGGCACCCTGGGGGCCGAGCACCTGGCTCTGCTTGACCCGCTGCAGCGGGTGGGCAGGACCTGCACCCACGGGCCGGGTTCTCCCCTTGCCGGCCTTCACCCCCTGCCCTGAGCTGGCAGCTGGGTTGGCACTGGGCTGTTCAAACGCGACACGGCTATTTCTCCTCTGGGCCTGGAACCAAACCACGGTGGGGGGGTTGCAGGACCGGCCCGTTGGGTGGTACAGGACGGGGGCTGGAGCAGGCATGGATTTCCCTGGGGGCAGAGGGGGGGCAGCTCTGCCTACCCTGAAGGTCCAGGCTGGCTCTAAGTGTCTTGCCTGAGGGCATGAAAAACTGGGGGGGTCCCAAGAGAGTCCCGCAAACCAGCCTCTCCTGGGGCCAAGCGAGTCTCCACTGAGCAGCAGCGGGGGAGGGGGGAGGACGGACTGTGGCATCGTGCCAGGGGGCAGAGCTTTCCCCTCATGCTGTCCCCCCCGGGCCTCCGTCACTCAGGGCGAGCGCCATGGGCTGCCAGCCCTGCCCCCTCTCCGGTACTCACAGCATGATGCTATTGGTGGGGGCAGGTGCCAGCTTCCCCAGCCCCTTGGTGCTGTGCTTCCCGGGCGGCAGCTTCCCAGCCTCAGCATTCGCCTCCAGCAGCTCCTGGCACTCACCCAGGGCCACCTGCAACGGGAGAGGGGCACCAAGTCCACAGCTGCCTGGGCATCCTGCCCAGAGCGGGAAGAGAACCCAGCCCCGTCCTGTTCTAACCCCAGGACCCAACTCCCCTTCCAGAGCCAGACATGAACCCAGGTGCTCTGGGCCAGGCGTGATGCGGCTGGCTCTGGGGTGGCACTCACCTCGCACAGCAGCAGCAGGCCCACGTCACGCTGGCGCGAGGCGAAGCAGTAATTGGCGCTCTTGGACGACATGTCTGCGAAGTAGATGCCCTTCCCAAACTGGGGGTGAGAGATTAGACTGGCTGAGGGGGAGGGAGCTGGGAAAGGGTTGAGGAGGAAAAGGCAGGCAGCTGGGGACAAGGGGGGGGTCTCACCATGTAGCCGGTGACGGGGGCCTCAGGGGGCGCCACTCGCAGCCCCTGGCTCAGGATCCCCACCCAGTTGCCCAGCCGGGAGCCATGCCACAGCAACGTCCTGGGGGGAAGAAAGGGAGGGGGTGAGCCCCATGCCTAACCTCCCCCCTTCCCCGCAGTACCCAGCCCCTTTACTGGCTGGGATCCAACCCCCACCCCACCGGACTCTCCTCCTGTGACCAAGCGTGAATTGTCTAACACTTTTACTCTGCCGCTGTGTGCCTCAGTTTCCCCTGTGCCTGGCACTGAAGCAGAAGGGTTCGCTTAGCTCGGAGGGGTGTGAGGGAGCTGACAGAGCTGGGAGGAGGGGGGGCAGTCTGGTTGCGCAGATGTAACCCACCAGGCGCAGGAGAAACCCACCTGTTCCCATCCCTGGGCCCCCCCAGCCCCCTGGATCACTCCCCCCAGGCCCTCACCGGTTGGGCAGGCTGGCGCGGAAGGGGGACTCGCCGGCCCGGCGCAGGGTGAAAGCCTCCAGCAGCTCCATGGAGTAGTCACGGTGGGTGGGCGCATGGGTGGAGAGCAGGTACCGCTCCAGCACCTGGGGGGAGCTGTGGGGCGTGAGCCAACCCCAGCCCTGCCCCCTCCCCACCCGCCTGGCCTTTTTCAGCCCCCGCTCTCCCACCGTACATGCCTCTGGTCACTGCCCCCTCACCTGGCCTCCCCAGCCCCACACTGTCCCCCTTGCCCGCCCCCCTAGCCTACACTGCTCCCCACCACTCCCCAACCCACCCTGCCCCCCAGCTTCCCCACTGCTGGCCCCTCGCAGCCCCCCGACCTGGAAGTGGGCAGAGTCCCGCTCCAGGGGGTGGAGCTCACAGCCCAGCGTGCGGTAGCTCCGGTCCAGTGGGTGCTCCTGGCCATGCAGCTCCAAGCGCGCCAGCTTGATGGCGATCTGGATCTCGCCCAGGGCCTGGGGGGTGGGGGGAGTCAGGGGTGAGAGGGGGATGGACAGACAGAGAGATGGAGGGACAGATTTCCCCCCCCCCGCTCACCTCCAGCAGCTGCACCTTCTCCTGAAGCTCCTGCCACGTCCGGATCAATGGGGGTGTCCGAAGCCTGGGGGTGTGTGTGCGGGGAGAGAAGCAGAGTGAGCCAGGCCTAGGGGGAGTGGGGGGGACCTAGAGCCCCAGCGAGGAGGCAGAGCAGGGGAGGGTAGGGGGTGCTTGGAGGGGCAGGGGTAGGGTTGCCAGGTGTCCGGTTGTTGACCGGAACACCCAGTCGAAAAGGGACCCTGGCAGCTCCAGTTAGCACTGCTGGAAGGGCCATTAAAATCCGGCTGGCGGCACAGCGGGGCTAAGGCAGGCTCCGCGCGGCTCCCGGAGGCAGTGGCATGTTCCCCCTCCAGCTCCTAGGCACTGGGGCAGCCAGGGGGCTCTGCACGCTGCTCCCGCCCCAAGCACTGTGGTTCCCGAGCAATGGGAGCTGCGGGGGCAACGCCTGCAGACAGGGGCAGTGCATACAGCCGCCTGGCTGCGCCTCCACGTAGGAGCCAGAGGGGGGAACATGCCACTGCTTCCGGGAGCTGCTTGAAGTGAGCACCACC